ATTTTTTTAATATCCCAGGAATCAGAATTTCCACTATGAAAATTCTTCTCCTTTTAAAAACAGTTTAACTATGTATTTGAATGTCAGCTAAGTAACTCTTGTGAATGAATGCCTGCTGTAATTAAAATTTAGTCATTTCTCAACTACTTAAAAATGTTTACCGTGAAAATCAGGAGATTTTTAGATTTTTAGGAGATGTTGCGTGCAAGACAGCACACCTGCAAGACATACATTAAGAACTGTAATTATTTTCTTTTCAAGCCATTTAAAAATGTATTAACATCAGGGCCAGCCCCATGCGCACAACCTACCACCCAGCGCCCTGCCTGCCTGCAGATGTTTCTCTAACCTCACGCCCCGGGATTATGCAGCATTACTTGTCAGCTGTGTCCCTGAACCCATAACAGAGGAAGACTTCCAGGAGCTAACAAGGAGTCAGAAACTCACCCTCAAGGTAGCACGGAAACCATCTACACACAAGAAACACATCACCCTTCCAGGCTCTCTACTATTTTAAGCACGAGAGAGATACAGAACTTTACAGATGACGACGACTTGTTATACACGAGTCTGGCACAGCTGCACCACGGACCAGTGTCCGACGCTGGGATGTCACCGCGAGCAAGAGCCAATACACCCTGAGCCACAAGCATCATCGGTTATCCCGCAAGCCGCGTATTCCCGAGGCGCACCACAGCTATCCTTAGGTTTAGACCCAGATGCCATTTTTCCACATTCCTTCATCAGTTTAGCTCGATCAGAAAAGCGAAGTGGAAATAACCAGCTCCAATGCGCTGCGCGTTTTGGGGGGGCTTTGGGTATTTTTAGAAGAGAGAAAGCACTGTGCACAGCTACCTACAAGGCAAATAAAACCACCCTGGGAAAGCGGATTAGCGGCTGAGTGGAACACCACAACGGGTGCTCAAAGGAAAATAATAAAATGCCATTGTCAGCCACCTCTCCAGCACCACCGAATACAATATTCGTACTAAAAAGAACGGAGAACGGCAGGCACAATCTGCTGGTCATCCATATGGATGTCTTCTCTTAGTACTTCAACAGTATCTTAAACGAGGTCAGGCACACACACTCAGAATTGTTTTCTGACAAACTTCTAACTACAAAGGTGGAACTAATATCTGAAGAGCTGAAAGCTGGTATCATGTCCTTATTTAGGCAAAAGAGCTGGCTGACTGCAACGATTTTCATCTAAGCAAGGTAACAGGGAGAAATCCTTCACTCCTGTGTAAAAATGTAAATCCCAGGTCAGTGAGTCATTTAAGCACATGCCTAATGTAAAGCTTGAAAGAAATCCTGCTAATAACCAGGCTGCTTGCATATTTAGTTAGGCATGGGCTTAAGTACCTGGATGATCTGGAAATACCCGATAGCCCCTGGAAAAGAGACTAAAACAGGCTGGTTTGTGAATTAATCACAGTGGTATGAACAGAACTGCTAATATTAAAACTGGGGGCGGGGAGAGGGGGGCAGTGTGTGTGTGTGTTGAAGCATCTGTTCAAGTTTAGGCATATAAAACATTTTTCAGCCCAATGACTCCATAGGGAAATGCTTCATACATCAGCTCATCTGACTCAATTTTTCCATCACATTTCCCTTAATACAGTTTTGTCCATAAATACACTTTTTTCCAAATATAGCTTTTTATTTATAGAGTCAGAAAACCTTGTAACTTGTGTTATTACTTAAAGCCCGGGGTTCTTCTTTGAAATGTAATCATTAAGGAATTATTAGCCAATATCGAGGTATGAAACTAAGTTACCTACGTTTGCAGAAGGAAAAGGGATTTCTTTTTGCTACAGTATTTACCGTTCTCAGTATTTCCTTCACCAGAAAACACCTAGTAACGTCACAACTGTCCAGCCATACCTCGCCGCTTGTCAGTTTAGCCCATAGCGCATCTGGGAACTTTCACCTTAAATCTTTGTTTTAGACAAAAGAAAGCCAAGCTTTTAAAAATCCCAACCAGATCTTCCAGACAGTCCACAATTTGGGGAGAGCTGTGCGTCACTACCCAAGCAGCGATAACGATTCATATTTATGGTACAAGGAGGTCAGAAGAGGAAATCTAACATTGCCTTCTTCCCCTCCAAGGAGCATTTTGAAGATAAATTCTTTTTTGTGGCTTTTAACAGAAAGCAATCAGCCTACCAAAGCCATGACAAAGAATGGCCAGTGAATAGATAATTCAGACATTTAAAAAGTATGGGTTTTTTTCAGAGGCAGAATTTAGACATCAAGCAATACTGAACACAGCAAGTGAAATGTGATTTAATAGAATTTGGCCATTATTAACCACAACTTGAGTCCAAAAAAAAGCGTAGCACGTTATTACACAGCACAAGTACAGGACAGTGGAATTCCACTCCTGCTGCTCGCGGGAAGTGCAAAGACCAGCTGGAAAGACTGATAATGACGTGGGGTTCTGCAATAAATTATTCATTCACAAAGCACGGCAAACGGGATCGTTTCCCCGCACGGAGGCGGCAGTGCGGCCACCTCGAGGGGCTGACCGGGCTGTGGTCCAGGGACCAGTTTTCGGAGGCGCATCTGTAATTCAGGGAGTCTTCCTATGTGCTGGGCAGGGATGCTAGGAAGGGTCGTGTTTCCCCATGCAGGTCAACAGTGTTAAAGCCAGAGCAAGCATAAGGAGAAGGGGAAATGTATGAAAAGGAGGAAGTATTAACAGAACTTTTTTCATGGGAATAATTTACTTCCTATTAACTGGATTAAAAAAAAAATAAATCTGGAGCACAAACTCCGTAAGGGACTTTCTTGAATGGCAGCATGAAAAACAAAAGCTGGAAACAGGGTGGGAAGAAAGGATCACCTTCCCTCCTAATGAGACAGCAGCGCCCATCCTCTCGGACTGCAGAGCGGCCAGACAACAAAGGGGTCCATTATCTGCCGAGGATTTTACTCTGTTTAATGATCCTTACTGTTGTCCAAGTTTGTGCCGCTATTCAGAGAATCCCATCTGAGCAATAAGGCTAAGGCATAAAAGAGGTACCTGCCGCAACTCGCTTTGCGTTGCCGATGTTTAAAAAAAGAGATGGTGAAAATCTGAAGTGGCATTAGGAAAGAGCCACAAAATTGCCTCCCTCTGCCCGGCTCGGTGCTAATAGTGAGGCTACAGACTGATTTCATGACTTTTCTCAGCCATGCGGCCCCTCGCAGGTGCTAATGATCGCAAGGGGAACGCTGGCAAATCACCCAAATTCAATCTGATGAGCACAGTCTGCCTGGGTTCCCCCGTTCCCGGCTCACACGTACCCTGTTGTGCTCGAGCAGCTCTGGGTTGAAGGCTCACTGCCATCTAACAAGTCCTCACTCTCCAGCATCGCAGCTTGGTCAAAAAAGAAGCGTCAGCCGCACTGAGAGCGGTTGCTGGCTCCAGCTCCAACAGCAGTACCCGAGGCACAGGAGTCTCAGTACCGCAGTCCATAACACACCCGATGTAGGCACTTTCAGGATTAAACAACTCCTGACAGCCTGTTTCTAGGTTGCTTTGTTGGTCCTAAGTAGCTGGGTTACACTTACATACAACTGCAGGCGCTACAAGAAGTACACGGGACCTCATCCTTTGCTTGGCAAAAAGTGATGTTTTAGGAGAGTTTGGGGGGTTTTTTTGACTCACAGAAGTTGCTGGCAGTCAGTAAATTACTAAGTCAACAAATCTGTGTGTTAAAATTCATCACAAACTCTCCGTCAGCGATTAGATTTCACAGCTAATAAGAATTTTGCTCTTGAATCTTTCCCTTGTCTGCTATAAAACCATACAAAGCCAGAAAAGACCTTTTAAGATAAAGTTTCACCTAAGCAATACAATTCCCAAACCAATTACCTCTTGAACCACAGAAAATTCTTTAGAAAAACTGTCTCCAATTAAAACTCTTCAGTATATACTAAAATCTTTGCTAAATTCTTAAAATTGGTCGAAACTTGCCTAGCATTTGACCACTGCCTTGCCATACCTTTTGTCCTCACAAACGCACTCATAAACTGTTAACAAGTTTTCTTTTAACCTTCTCTCTTTTAAGAGACGGACAGGACCGCTGAAGTCCTCACTGTCAGCACGTTTTCCGACCCTTTTGGGGCTCTTCTCTAACTCATTCAAAGCAAGCCGCCGTGCTCTCAGTCTGTGACCCCCATTTTTCAGTTATTTACTGATATTTGCATCACCTGCAAGTCATCTGTGATGACTTGGATGTCTGCTTCGAAGTAACAGGCAAAAATAATCACTAATGAAGGGCTAAGAACAGGTACCAATGGAGCCCATCTAGAAAACAGGTATTTCATGACAATTCCTCATTTATAATCATGCATTCAGACCTGGGAGTTGCTTTAAAAAACCCAACTTAATGTTGTTGCATCAATTAAGAAAACGCTTAGTTTTTTAAATGAAAATGTTGTCTATTAGCAATAATTCAATAGTCCACTGCATCAGTGATAATACAAACTCACAATTTTAGTGTTAAAAGTACTAAAGGTAGTCACATTGATAAGGGTACAGCCAGTCGTTAAGATTTTTTTAATAACTTTTCACAATTTCAACTGTTCTGAAACTTGATAAAGCCAGTTTTAAAAGCCACTGCAAGGATGAGAGAAGCTGGGTGATGAACCCAAGTAGCCACAACGAACAGCAGCTGAATGCGTTTTCAACACAGCTGAAAAAAACAGAGTCTTGTAAAACAAGTTTCAGGTGATCTGAAACACAAACCTTCAAACGTATGTGTCAAAGCGTACTAACATACATTCCTTGTTCCGTTTTGTCCCATCCTTGGCCATTTCAATTCAGAAATGTCAGTCAAGTTACCGTTTTTCGAGAAATACACTGCGAAGGGATCGTTTTCTTACAAAAAGCCACAGAAATACTCCCAGGGCAGACAGCCACACTCAGTACGACCGTCCCAGAGCACACAGCCACCCGCTCTCAGCACACCACCAACCCACCCCGCTCACCTGAGCTTTTGCTCCCTTACCTCGCCTCCTCCTCAGCTGCAGACATGGTCAGAAGCCCCTGGCCATAAAGGATCCCCAGCTGCACTGTCGCACGGGAAATCCCTGCAGTCAAACTACTCTACCTCGGCTTTAATCATCAGGATCGTCTACTCGTTCGCTTTTGCCGCTGACCAGAGAGAGGAGAAGGACGGACACCGAGCAGCCTGCGCCTTTGTCAGACACAGAAAATATGTAACGGTTCACCCCACCCACTGCCAAGCCCTCCGGATCTGCTTCAGCCACCAGCGCGACGCGAGAGGGAAAACAAACATCGTCCCCTCCTGCCTTTTTAGAACTGCAGAAACACTGGAGTTAATTTTAGGATTGCTGGAAATACAGGACTTTCAGCTGTTTGCAGTTGTATGGGGAGAATAAGGAACGGCACAATAAGGCTCAAATTACCTGTGCGTTTGTATATTCATTTTCTTTTAAAAATTCTTACATATCCCACCTCACAGAATGGAGCTTATTTGTTCCCTCAGGAAAGCACAAGTATAACTTTAGAATACACTTGGAAAGAATAAAAAATACAGAGAGGGCACCTTTCATTTTCCTAATCACAAGTCTTGACAGAAAACAACAGCTTTCCCCTTTTAAATGACCTGAAGAAAGGTGGGTTTTGGTAACTGGACTGACGGCTGGTTTGCTGAACAACACCGTGAAACAGATTTCTAACAGAAAGGGACAGATTTTTTCCCTACCAATTATCCTTGACTTACAGTGGGCAGAAGACATGGAAATAATAACAGGAATAATCAATTGTCTGTCAAATGCAAGGTTTCTGTTTGTCCTCGTATTTCTAAATACTAACTGAACACCCAGTGAAAAAGCTGAACCTGGTATTACCAACTGTTGCTCGAGAATCCATACTGTACATCCATGCCCTAACTAAATCTCTGCACTATCTCCTATTTGTAATCAATTTGACGGTGGAACAAAATTAGCACTTTCCTGGGAAGCAAGGTCGCAACAACCAGAAAGAGTCAGAACTAATTCCTACCAGTAGAAAAGAGAATTGGCTAAAAAAAGCCAGTAAAAGTAACTGTACAAATGTCATTCTTGTGAAATTTTACGATGACGAGTGAAAGTTAGGCCCAACAGAGGCCAAAACTTTCATTACCTGATACAGGGGGTGGATTTTTCTCCTCGTGCTCTGCATTCAGATCGAGCGCAGAGAAACGTCAAACTGCACGGCCGTAGCCCCGGTTACCTCGAGACAGGGTTAACTCTGCTATCAACAGCATCATGAACGTTTATCTGGCCAAGGAGAGCAAGGAGCTGCTGATTTCTTAGCTCGTGTTGGTGCTACAACAGCGTCTGCTGCCGTGGACTGAACGCTCGGGGATCTGCCGAGCGCCGTCCTGCCAGGCTGAGGAGTTGGGATGGCAGAGCCGGCTTCGCAAGGAGGGTGGGCTAGCGAGGTGACAGACAGTTGGTGTCTCTTAAAGTAAAAAAAATACCTGCCACTTGCAACTCAGATCAGCATCACAGGAAAAAGCAAAATTTGCCACTGGAGGTGGTAAAAACACCTCGAAGGCTGTGTACTACCAGCACCCAGCGCCCTTCTCTCTGATGCCGGAAAAGCCGCGACGAGGCTTTGCGTTTCTTCACTTGGGAAAAACACATTAGAAATGCCCGTCCCCGAAAGCCGCCTCCCCGCGGCGGGACCCCAGGCGCGTCCCTGCCCTCCAGAGCCCGCCGGGGAAGCCCGGAGGGACAA